ATCGCCCAGCAGCGCTTAACCCATCCAAGGAGCTACGGGAGAACCTAATCGATGCCACACAGGAGCTCATCGACCTGTGGCTGGAAAACCCGGGTGGCACGTCCCAGCGCGCTATAGAGAGGCGGCTACAGCGTCTGGTGACCGGTCTCCCATGGCTTCTGGGCTCGCTTTGTTCGTGGGAGCAGGAGCTTCTTCTTTTGGACCTCGGACTATACCCCCCGTCTGCATTCACGTTCGAGCGGCCCGAGGCGGTGAGTGAGCGGGATGCATTGGCTTCCCCAGTTTCCGGGACTTTATTTTCTGGGGCTATTCAGAGCGGGATGGGAGACTGTACGGGTCGCTTACCCACCTTCGTGGTAACAGACCCTTCGCAGGTGGGCGTGTACAAACCCTCTGTAAAACAGAGAGACTGTTTCTCTGCCGCTCCTTATGAGCCAGAACTTTATTGCCGTTCTCCGGCTCAGTTCGGTGTCCAGCCACAAGCTTCCCAGTCTGCAGCTCAACCGTTAGCCTCCCTACGGACACAATCACCGGTTCTGCCGCCGCTCCAGTTGGCCACTCAGCCACCATCATCACCGCTAGCATCGCCACAACCCACGGTTCCGGTAATAGCCGACTCACAGTTTTCACACTGTTTTTCCACCGCTGTTTCTAGGCAGGGAGATGCACTGTTTTGCAACGGACCTGTTCTTCAAAAGCTGGCAACATTAGAGACTGTTGCTCACTCCGGGGCTTCCCCAGAGGCTGGGTTACTGCCCTCAGCTTACTCTGGACCCCTGGTGGCCATGATGCCAGCTGTGAACTGCACCGGACTGTCACTGCCTGAGCAGGGTCAGTGCTCTGCGCAGCTGCAGCCCTCCGTATGTGTGCCAGAGGCCCACGTGCCTACTGGTTTTGTTTCAAGTGTGCCAGAGGCCCACGTGCCTGCTGGTTTTGTTTCATGTGTGCCAGAGGCCCTCGTGCCTACTGGTTTTGTTTCATATGTGCCAGAGGCCCACGCGCCTACTGGTTTTGTTTCAACTGTGCCAGAGGCCCACGTGCCTACTGGTTTTGTTTCAACTGTGCCAGAGGCCCACGTGCCTACTGGTTCTTTTTCTTGCGTGCCGGAGGCCCGCGTGCCTCCTAGTTTTGTTTTGTGTGTGCCGGGGGCCCCGGTGCCCGCTGGTTCTGAGGCTGTTTTTGCTGGGGGGCCCGGGGAGCCCGTCCAGCCTCCTGCTTCGCCTGCTGGGGGGCCCGAGGAGCCCGTCCAGCCTCCTGCTTCGCCTGCTGGGGGGCCCGAGGAGCCCGTCCAGCCTCCTGTTTCGCCTGCTGGGGGGCCCGAGGAGCCCGTCCGGCCTCCTGCTTCGCTAGCTGGGGGGCCCAAGGAGCCCGTCCGGCCTCATGCCACACCGGCTGCCACGTCGGCTGGGGGGCCCAAGGAGCCCGTCCGGCCTCATGCCACACCGGCTGCCACGTCGGCTGGGGGGCCCGAGGAGCCCGTCCGGCCTCCTGTGGCTGCTTCTCCACCTGTGGCTGCTTCTCCACCTGTGGCTGCTTCTCCACCTGTGGCTGCAGCGCCGCCTCCTGCAGTACCACCACCGGCAGTGCTACCGCCTGCTACGGCCACACCTCAGCCTGAGGACGCATCATCGCCTGGCCCGGCGTCATCCTCGCCTGGCCCGGCGTCATCCTCGCCTGGCCCGGCTTCATCCTCGCCTGATTCTGGTCCAGCTCCACCCTCACCTGGTCCAGCTTCAGCTTCTGCTTCAGCATCGTCTGGTCCAGCCTCCGCTTCAGCATCGTCTGGTCCAGCATCAGCATCATCAGCATCATCAGCATCGTCTGGTCCAGCCTCCTCGTCTTCATCGTCTGGTCCAGCCTCCTCGTCTTCATCGTCTGGTCCAGCCTCCTCGTCTTCATCGTCTGGTCCAGCCTCCGTGTCTTCATCGTCTGGTCCAGCCTCCGTGTCTTCATCGTCTGGTCCAGCCTCCGTGTCTTCATCGTCTGGTCCAGCCTCCGTGTCTTCATTCACACCTGGTCCAGCTCCAGCTTCAGCATCCTCATCAGCTGCTTCGCCTGGCCCAGCTCCATCATCAGCATCCTCATCAGCTGCTTCGCCTGGCCCAGCTCCATCATCATCCTCGTCTGGTCCAGCCTTCGTGTCTGCATCTTCGCTGGTCCAGCCTCCGTGTCTGCATCCTCGTCTGGTCCAGCCTCCGTGTCTGCATCCTCGTCTGGTCCAGCCTCCGTGTCTGCATCCTCGTCTGGTCCAGCCTCCGTGTCTGCATCCTCGTCTGGTCCAGCCTTCGTGTCTGCATCCTCGTCTGGTCCAGCCTTCGTGTCTGCATCCTCGTCTGGTCCAGCCTTTGTGTCTGCATCATCATCTCCGCCTGCTGCGGTCCCGGCTTCCGTGCCCTCAGCCTCGTCTGGCCCAGCCTCGTTTGGGTCTGGAGCTAAACGGCCGTTTTCTGGACCGCTGGCTAGGCTACTGGCCGAGCGCCGTCGCCTGACTGGCCGCCGTTGCCTTCCGCACGGCCGGCCCCCGGACCGCTATCGCCTGAGCGGCCGCCGTTGCCTTCCGCACGGCCGGCCCCCGGACCGCCATCGCCTGACTGGCCGCCGTTGCCTTCCGCACGGCCGGCCCCCGGACCGCCATCGCCTGAGCGGCCGCCGTTGCCTTCCGCACGGCCGGCCCCCGGACCGCCATCGCCTGAGCGGCCGCCGTTGCCTTCCGCACGGCCGGCCCCCGGACCGCCATCGCCTGAGCGGCCGCCGTTGCCTTCCGCACGGCCGGCCCCCGGACCGCCATCGCCTGAGCGGCCGCCGTTGCCTTCCGCACGGCCGGCCCCCGGACCGCCATCGCCTGAGCGGCCGCCGTTGCCTTCCGCACGGCCGGCCCCCGGACCCTCTTCGCCTGAGCGGCCGCCGTTGCCTTCCGCACGGCCGGCCCCCGGACCCTCTTCGCCTGAGCGGCCGCCGTTGCCTTCCGCACGGCCGGCCTCCTGAACCTTTTGTGCGCCTCCTCGGCCTTCTTCGTGGCCGGCCTCCTGACCTGTCCCATCCTGGCCTCCTGTGTTATCGGGCCCCTGGCAGGCCGCCTGAACTGTGTTTTGGACTCTGCTCCCCTGTGAGTTTTCTTTTTGTGAACATTTGTTTGGGACTCTGGGGCCTTCGTTTTGGTCGTGGCCCGGTCCCTCCGTCCTGGGCCCCCTGCCGCCCGCCCGGGTCTGGTGGTGTGCTTCTGTGGCTGTCAGGGGCCAGCCCTTGAGGGGGGGGTACTGTCATGGTCCTGCGGCCATGACTGAGTGACTTTGTGTTTGTGTTCTTTATTGTTATTACTTTCATTATTATTCATGGCTGTTTTGGGATGGTTTGTGTTTGGGATTTTAGACACTGGGTTCTGGGTTTGTGCTCCCTCTGTTGGTCCCTGGTGTTAGTGTTCCCCTGTCTCGTCAGGTTAATCAGGTCCAGCTGTTTCCCCCACCTGTGTGTGATTTCCCAGTGTCTCTTTGTGTATTTATAGTGTGTGATTTCCTCTGCTCCTCGTCGCGTCGTCTGTGTACATACCCTGTGTTCATCCTCTGTGTTACCCTGCGTACTCTGCATTTCTCCGTGAATCCTCTGCGTGCTCTCCCTGCTGTTCTCCCTTCATGTTCAGGTTTGCCACTCCCTTTGTGTAGTTTCTCCCAGTTTAGTTCGTCCTTAGTTCTGTTTTGCCATCTCCACTTTATGTTCAGTATTGTCAATAAATCACCTTCACATCTGAGTAAGTGCTGCATCTGAGTCCTCCTTTCCACTCTTCACACGGCCGCTGCCCCGGACCGTGACAGTTACAAAGTTTCACTGAACATGTTATTATCTCGATTAACATGTTCAACTCTAGATTTGATGCTTCTTAGTAGTGAATAATGTCCACAACCCAGTCTTTCTCCCTTTTCAGTAAAATCTGCAAATGTTTGAGGGTATCTGTTTACAATGATCTTAGCAACCTCTTCACAAGATGCACGTTTAGGGTTTCTGCAGTTAACTTGCATGGCCTCCACAACAATTCTAACCATACTTCTCCTGTCCTCTGGATGACCTCTGTCTCCTCTTGTGATTGCATGCGACAGTTGGAGTGGAAATCTTTCCCAAGCTCCAGAGTAATGGTGTCATTCAAATTCTTTGGTCTGTTGCCATCTAAAAATAAGAGAGCGAGATCACTGGAAAAGCAACTTTATATGGCTATTTCCAGTGTTGGGACCAACGCGTTATTAAGTAATGCGTTACAGTAACTATGTTATTATTGTTCATAAGTTATTAGAGTTGCCAACCGTCCCGTCTGGTATTCAGAGAAAATATTACGCGTTTCTTATTGAGGTGAAAAGGAACAGTTTGTCCCGTAATTCAGCTACAATGAAAAAGACACAAAGCTGGAGTTATTCTGTGTCTTTGCTGCACAGCTGCCTCTTCTTCTTTCATTCTCCCCCCTCCCTCTCCCGTTTCTACTTCAATCATGAAACTGATCAATGATCAGCTGATCGGCTCTCTTGTTTGTTTATCGCCCACTTTGCGCCAGAAAGAGGAAACCAGCGGATGTCGCGCTAAACAACAGCAGCACGTTTAAGCTTGATCAGCTGTTGTTAGAATTTATTTAATATTAATTTCTAGTATCAGCTGATGTTTGCTGGAGCCACAGCTGTAAAAGCTGCTGGTCATGATATGGTTTGGTTATCTGGTGAGAGGGAAACATGAAGATGAAACCAGGAGATGTCCTTACTGGATCATCAGAGCTGAACAGGTGATGGAGAAACAGGTTTACCTTTTAGGTGACATGAATGAGTTGAAGGGAAGTTATGAACTGTTTCTGAGAGACAAATAACACCAGGATCCTTTTTTAGGTAGCTGACAGCTGGTAACTGTGCAGGGGCGGGTCTAGCAAAGTGTTGCCAGGGGGCAGGTAGGGCATTAACAGGGAAAGGGGGGCACAAAGAAATACTTTTCTTTCTTATTCTCATTTAAAATGTCTAGCTTTTAAAAAATAATTATCTGAATCTTACAACAAACGATTGATAGATTGATGCATATATACCATCAGAACAGTGTACATCACTGTCACAACAGTGTTTATTTTCATTCAAAGGCTTTATGATTTTTCCTATAATGGTGGGCCAGTCTCTAGTCAAAATGTCCGGGCCAATTTTCTGTCCCAGTCCAGCCCTGTATGCAGCTCATCTGCAGTCTGGTGTTACCTACATCTTCCTATTCAGAAGGCAGAATTTCCGAGTTCTGAGTACAATCGAAAGCACCACGACTGCAGTTTTTGTGTTGGATGTAAAAGGCGCACATGACGCTGTGACGTAGGCTAGAATCATGGCAGCAGTCAATGACGGTCCAGGCGTGGGATTTCTCTCGTGGAAATATGCACATTATCTTTTCCTTTCTATTGGTAGGTGGCACAGTGCACTTGTGGCAAGTAAGCAAGCTAGAAGACTGGCAAAGTTATGGAAGCAACACATTAACAAGAGAATTCTGAGTAAAACCAAAGTTACTTTCCCTAGTAACTAGTTACTTTGAAAGTAATGAGTAACTTGAAGTAACTGAGTTACTTTTGAGAGAAGTAACTAGTAATGTAACTAAGTTACTATTTTAAAGTAACTTACCCAACACTGGCTATTTCAACAAATATGTCCTCACTAAAAGATGAACCCTGCAATTAGGATTGAGTACTAACAGAAAGACAGTTTTGGGGACCTTGTCTGAAGACGAAAATCAATGCCAGGACTCCAAAATAACTACAAACTCAAGGTCTTGCTTCAAAAGTTGAAAAATACATCGAAAAATACAGTATATTTTACAATTTGTCACAATTTCCACCCTTAGTCCTACCATCACCAATGAAAGGTTAATGGTGTTAGATTCAGTGTCTACTTTTGTTTCGTGCATTGCACAGCTGCAAATATTCTGAAATTCCTCTATGATGCTCTGTATAGTGCTGGTTGGCAAGAGCATTTTAGCCTGCATTTTTAAATGACACAAGTCTTCTAATAGATTAACTGTGTCCTTACTTACTTACTGAGCACTTAGTTCCTCCTACGCCGAGCGGCGGATTGGGCAGCTAGTGATCTCCATCGATGTCGGTCGGCAGCGACTGCTTCAGCTTCGTCCCAGGCAATGTCGACAGTTCTCAGATCGTCCATGAATGTCCGACGCCATGTGATCTGTGGTCAGCCTTGCTTTCGCTTGTTCAGGTGCTGAGTAATTGCACTTGTTGAGCGCCAGGTTTCACTAGCGTATAGTGCAGTAGGAAAGACGATAGAGTTTAATAGTCTGATCTTGACCCTAACATTTAGGGAGGTCGAGTTCCAAATAGGATCTGTGGCAAAGAATAGTTGATGGCCATGTTGTTCTCCTGCTTTGCAGCTTTGTTTGAGTCTGAATTGCGTCTTAAACATTCAAAACTAAGAAAAGCAGATCAATATTTTCTTCTTGTTGTCATTTAATGGTAGTTAGCAACCAGCAAAAGGAGCATTAACCACCTCGCCCAATATTTTCTATCCCCATTGTTGTTTTGAACGTGTATACCCGACGTGTGCGTCATACTTCACGTTGTACGTCAGGTGAAGGTGTGGTGTCGGCTATCGCATTAAAAAGCTTTAAAAACACAACCCAACGCGCTAAACATGAACAAACATAAACACCCGTGTTACATTATCACGTATATCCAGGACATTTCTTCTGAACCAAGGCGAAGTGGTGCTACAAGGGAATTATTTCTTTAGGAGAGTGCATTTAATAGCAGTCTGGCCTGCCACAAAATGCACTGCTAAAAATACAGTTTCTGCTTGTCCCAGAATTTATTAATTTTGAGAGTGAAGTTGTAGGACTGATTCTGGTTAGTGGTGTAGGTTTCATGGTTGTGACACCCGAACTTATGTAAAATGACGACCAGAGCATATTATTAGGTTAGTTCACTGTAGTTAGGCAGAGGTGTCTTAAAAAGTACCACCTTAATACACAACAAATGAAGGTCCAGTATAAGAAAGAATAAGAAGAGAAAAAAGGAACACCCTGCTAAATGAAGTCATTTTTAAACATTACTCTAAATGTAGCCATTCGTTTTTGTTGCTGGCCATACAAAAAATAAGTATACTTCAAGTATATTTCCCAAGTATACCTTACCTAGTACGTATACTAATAATGCTTCTTGGGACTATATTGGCCCCCGTTTTAGTACATAACAGTATTCTTGAAATTAACTTTTAGATGTACTTTTT